AATGAGTTTGTTAGTACAAGCAGAAAGCTAGAGAAAGTTGCACTAGACATGATCGATATGAGGTGTGAAGGAAAATATGTTCTGGTGGCAGTAGATTACTTTTCTAGAATGGCAGATGCAGGTGTTCTGATGAATAAAGAATCAAACACCGTTTTATCATATCTAAGGAATTGTATAAAAAAGGGATTCAAGCCTGAAGAGCTTATAACAGATAACGGGAAAGAATTTTGCAGCGAAGAATTTGAAAATGGTGTTCTGAGAATGAGATAAAACATGTTAAAGTAGGAGTAGAATCCCATAAAAGTAATGGCAGAGTGGAAAGGTTGATTGGCACAATTAGAGAAGGATTGGCCAAAAGAAAGGATGGGTCCTTAGAAGAGAGGATAGATGCTATTATATCTAAATACAATGATACTTATCATTCAGCGATAAATTGCACTCCATTGGAGGCATGGAATGAAGTTAAAGACGAAGGGGGCAAGTAGCCGAGTGGGCTGGCCTCAAGATCGCAGGTCCGAGGACCCGGGTTCGAGCCCGGGCGGGGTGGTAGATCCCCCAAAACCCGGCGGTGGTGTGTAAGCTGGGTGCTCCTGGGGAGGGGGCGGCAAGCTGCTGCCGCAGCATGAGTTGGTGTGTTCTGTCTCTGACGGAGCCACGACGGTAATGAGGTGCAGTACCACCTCCTCACCACCCTCCACTAAAAATTCTCCCTAGAACCAAAGGGCACAGCCCATGGTCAGCGCTAGTTGCGCAGTGGATCAATAAATAAAGTTGATTTCATTAAAAAAAAAAAAAAAAATAAAATGGTATAGATTGGCACACTTTAACCCCATATATTTAGGAATAATCGTTATATAAAAGAGGGTGTTAACAACTAATGAAAGATCAAGTAATATATCCAAAGAGTGACATCGATTTTTAGTCAAATTAAATCTATTTTCAACCTCGAGTAAGATCTGTTCAATCTTCCAGGTATATCTTAAAATGGTTCTGTTATAAAAGATATCTTCAAAGACAAGAAGTTTGTTACACAGTGATAGATATGCCTTAAATATCTTCTTAATTATCGATTGTATTTCCAGTTCATTTATTCCATAAGCTTGTCCAAATTTTTCCGAAGTAAAAGACCATAAAAATCCACGCGAGTTCATAAGAATATACCTGAGAATGTCTGCATCAAGATCAAACATAATCAGAGAAATAAATTTATTTGTGATCCCTTGTCCATTGCGCAATCTTGAATCATGGTCTATATAAGTATCACCCCACAGTTTATATCCTTTTTTAAGTTTGCACCTTCTCTCGTAGCAATAGACAAAAGTATCATAGAAAATCTTATCGTTAAAGGATCTAAGAAACTCTTTAATGCACAAATAAAAGACGGGGAAATCCTCCCTAAATGTGGTTGTATTCTTAGAGTTGTACTTAGACTCTATTACTCCCCTGGTTTTTTTATCTTTATATCTTAATTCACTCTCATGCACATTTATTCTGTGAAGTAGATAATGAAAAATAAAAACATTTGTAAAGTGATGGCTTACCGATCCAAACGTGTAGTTCTTTGCCAAAAAGACTGTAAAATTCATCATTTCCCTGAAATACACCAACATTGAATTTTTCAATATCTCTTCAGTTATTAAGATTAGTGAATTCTGGATACCACTAACCATCTCCTCTGTAACAAAAATCTTTATACGTCTCTCTTCTTCACTTCTCACAAAGTCAAGCACTCCTAACATTTGTTCATATTTTAACTCGTAGAACCTCTCATCTTTCTCGTTAATAGAATCCATCAGCGTTTTTGGGTTGGATATTGTCCCATTAAGAGAGAGCCATAGACTTATCCTGCTGTTGATTATTTCCAACTCATCCTTCCCTAGTGTTTTGTATTGTATATTTATACTATCACATCTCCTACCCTCCCTTTCTAAGTCATGAGTAACACATTGTAGATCTTCTACTTCCATATTTTCACAAGAACTTTCCAAAAGCACACCTTGGTTAAAGGATGAGGTAAGCTTTTGACTTTTAAAATGATTAAAGGAACAATCCATCCCTTCACTTGATATCGTTTTCCTTTTTCTACCATTCTTATCTCTTTTTGATATACTCTCTGGGGATTGATTAACTTCGTTAAGTAGCTTATATACATCATCCATGTTTATATCAGACAAATCATGAGGCGACATTGACTCCACGTTTATATCAAATTCTGATCTATAAATTTGTGAATTCTTACCTACCACACCACATTCCTCCATATTGGTTGAGGTATTCATGTAATCATCCTCTTTTTTTCTAATTTCTGCTTGTATATCCTCCCTTTCGATACATCTTACTTTTACCTTCAACATCATTCCAAAATACAATAAAGTTAAATTTTTTATCACAAACACTCCTCTCCTATACTTCATTGTGTAATCAAAATCTTTCTTTTTTATAGTATCAAATTAATTATTACGGGTAAATAACCCACATTATGCTTTTTTGTGGATGACATCTATCTTTCACCAATTGAAATTATTCCTTAAACAATAAATTATCATTTTTAACATTTTGATTATGGTCTTTATATTCATAACAGCTATTTTTTGAAAAGCCCGTGAAACTTCTCGTTGAGAATGAATTCCATCACAATCTTATTTGTTTGATCCCAGGTTTATCCTAGCCATAGTTGTTCACATGTGGTTAGACACTAGTGTTAATGTTATCTCGCAAGTAAGTGAAGTCACACCAACCTAGTTTCTAGCAAATCTTCAACTAATGGTGCTTACTCCAATTGTATCCAGCAGGATTCAATTCCAGGATTTGTGAGTTCTGGGATGGTTAATGGATATTGCATAATTAGGCTTATCTGAACGGTGTTGTGGAATTCACCAAAAAGTATTATATCATGATGGGACTCGAACTTGCGATCCTCTTTGCTGTGAGAACAATTAAACACTGGGTTATTGTAAAAGGTGGGATCACAACTACATGTGTGATATCTACACACCCCAGCTATTAAAAATCCTACTCCTAAGCACTGTAAAAGATAATGCATTAACGAATCATTGAGAACTTGCTAAAATTAATGCAAGATGCGAACTCTTGTTTATTTAATCATAGAGATGGCCTTTTCAACTTTCATCCTCCATTGAGTGAACCTATCCTTCATCTCACAAAGTTCATCTCTAGATAGCATTCTTGGTAAGACATGTGAGAAGTAGAAGATATTCCTCTCTCCATCTATATATCCCTTAACCAAGTTCAACCCCAACACCTTAAGAAGTACGTCTATAGCTACCTCCCTAGACAAACCCAAAGCCTTTTCAATTTCACTTAGATAAAACATCTTCTCACTCTTATAAAAGCATAATTTTATAAAACTCACCAAATAAATCTTTTCTTTTAGGAATTCTCCCCATCTTGGAAACTCTTCCTCAATGATTCTCATACTTTCTTCAATAAACTTTATGTTCCCATCCTTAAACCCTTGGAGTATTTTCCTTAGCTTTTCGCTCTCTAAGTATCTCATCTCAATATCACCAAAATTATAAACCTCCCTAGACAGCAAAGAATGTCTAACTAGAAGTTCATTTAATACCCCTCTGTTCCACTCCCTGTTCTTTACCTTTAACTCTAAGTTTACCAGATCTACATACCTCCTCAAATAGTTAAAACATTCCTCGTTGTTTTTCAACAAGCTGTAGAATTTATAACCCATCTTGAAATACAACCTTTGTACAGTTTTATCCTTTTTCCTACATTTCCATTCATAAATACTTCTTTCAACCTCTTCCAAATACACTGATACACCATTACCATCCCTCACTTCATTGGCCATTCCTCTAGACTCTATCTCCTCTAAGCTATAAACATTCTTAAGGACGTCTAGGAAAAATTGAGAGTATTCATTGTCTTCTAAAAAGATGTTACTCTTTCTCAGCTCCATTTTTGATATAGAGATCAATTCTATTGCTTCTCCACGGGATATAACTTTACAAACCTTTCTTATAATCTTGACAAATGATTTTGGATGTATCTTATTACAGTTGGGTACTACACTCTCACTCATCAATCTCTTCATCTGTTCAATCTCATCCCTATCTTTCATTTTCTTTACCTTTTCTACTATCTCTCTAGATAGGTTATACCACTTCCTTTCTCTCACCAAGCCTTTTATTTCCTCCATTCTTTGTTTAGAAAGGGCAGACCTTCACCCCTAGAGTAGAGTGGGAGTAAAGAAATGGTGAAGGTGATACAGTCTTAAATCCCTTCATTAAGGCTGTCTTTGAATTAAGTGACAATCCTTTCTATAATTTGCAATGTCTCAGTACACAAGAACAGAAAATAGCAAATTTACATTTTTATCCACCGAATAACTCTCTAAGACTCTAAAAAAGATCTTCTCAAGCTCTGAAGAGCCACTTAGCAAATTCACGAATTTGAAGATCTCATTAGCACCAAGAATGGCATCACTTGGTGTATCTCTAATATCAAAGTTGACCAGATACACCGTTCTACCAGATATTTCTTTACTCCTGCTATAATACTCGAAGATGGATTTAAAACATCTCTCATCGCAGGTCACTACTAAATCAAAGTGTTCTTCACTCTCAAAAAAATTCTCGGGTCTCTCTTTTATTTTCATATTCCTTTCCATGATGTACAGTAACCCGTTATCTCTATAAAACACCTCATTTTTTGACTTTAGATCCTCATAGATGTGTTGGTAACTCACAGTGAACGGATAAATATTTGGTTCTGAGGTGGATAGACCAGGTAGTTTTATTACCTTGCTTGTCCCAAATGATTTTACATCCATTCCATTTTTAATAAATAAGCGGTGCACCTCCATACTTCTGTTCTGATTCATTGCACAACAAACTGCAATTCTCATTTAAAGGGTGTTCATCCCCTCATGAAATATCTCCTCTCCACTAAAAAACTTCTGTAATTTTTATCTAAGCTTACACATCCTCCGAGACACTTTAAATCAGCCATCCCCAAAACAAACAATGAACAACGATTATCTGACCACACTAAAGTACGGTCATATCATAGCTAAGATCCACGGTAAATCGCAAGTTTTACTTAAAGAATCGGATTATCTTGCACTGCAACAATGTGATGCATTGGATGAAGTGATACTAAAATTACAATCCTTTCCATATTCAAAGTATCTCTCAGAGGATATGAAGTTCACCAAAAAAGAATTTACCAAAAGACTCACCAAGTCTATGATAGATGAGTTTACCCAACTCTATCTCCAAAACAGCAAAGAGGATGAGGAATTGTGTGATCTTTTAGGGTACTTCATCAACCACTACAAAATACAGAACTTCATATATCTCCTAGCATCTAAACAAGAAGACCCAGATCTTGGTAGATCGTTTGAGAACATTGAAGAGATAGGCAGATTCAATGAATTGAATACCTTAAAATTTGCTAATGATATGGTGGATGTCTACAAGTTTTGTGTAGAAAGTACCTTTCTAAAGGACTATTACCATAAAATACACATAGAGAGAGATATCCACAAGAATGACTTCCAAATTTTACATTCGTACCTCCTAAAGCACCACATCGATACTTTCTATGAGAAGTGCAAGAGGAGTAGCACCTTGGGGTACATGAAGACCATTTTAGAGTTTGAGGGGGATAGAAGAATCATTGAAATTGTCCTAAACACTCTAAATAACTCAGAGATAGTCAACAAGAAAAGAGCCGAGATGTTCCCCAACACATCCTCCATGGATCTTGGAATTAGAAAGAAACTTTCCTCTTGTACCTCTGTAGACGAGCTGAGGGGGGTTTTGAGCACTCATCCCTTCTACAGGAAGATGGTAACGGTAGAGGATGAGGAGATTCTAAATGCCCTGGTAGAGTTGGAAATGAGAATTTATGTCACATCGTTTACTGTTTACAATGATCTATCTTGTATCTATTCATACTTTAAAATGAAGGAACAAGAAGTCAAGAACATTCTTTGGATCATAGAATGCATCCTACAGGAGAGAAAGGAGGCTATGAGGAGTATAATCATACCAGAGAAGGTATCAATAACAAACTAGGGATACGACATAATAAATAATTTTATTCAACTATTAGAACCCTTCTATAGAGAAATGGTAGGAACACCTCAGTGATATTCTCCACGTCATTGTCAAACAGTGCTGTATTGACCCGATCCAAATATTTTCTACAGGTAACGTTCCCCCAGAGGGATTTGTATTTAATGTGGGAGTATCCCCTAGAATTAGAGTGATACTCTATGGATGTCTTATCAATACAAAGTAAAAAGTTAGTCCATCCAAAGAAGAGTGTAAGAATTAGTAAGAGGTAGTTATTTAGAAAGGATGTCTCCCTTATCACTGAATTTCTAAGAAACACGGAGAGGATGAGGTATACCCACCAAAAGAATATAAAAAAATAAAATTGCTTGAAGTTGTCACTAGCTATACATTTACCGATCCAAGGACAGTGGTGATCTCTCTTATAATAACACGTGTTGCACAACTCACAGTGAAATGTTCTTCTACTCTTAAATCTGTTACACTCCCTGCAGATCCCTCTAATTTCAATTCCATCGTAACTTTTTAGGGATCCTGGAGATCTAACCAACAGCAAGAGGTAATTGTAGAAAGAGAGAGATAAGAAGTATAAGAAGAGGGGTTTAGAGTAGAAAGAAGTGGTATATACCACATCCAGGTATGAGAATACGAAGTACGACAATAAAGTTAATGTTAAGATCCATTCCATTACTTTTATGATTTTTTTGGTTATTTTCAGTATCATTTCTTAGTTGGTGTGCTAATATCTCCTTTCTTTCCTTTCTATCACTCCTTTTTATTCTCTTTAGAGATTTGACCAATTAAAGAATGTCCAGAGTTCACTCTTCACCAGGGAGATGTAAAGAGAATGATAAAATTAAATTTTATTTTGATGATCTGCCTTTTATGGATCTACATCTTTCAATAAAAGAAGAATCCTTTCTTTTAGCTTATTTGGAGTGAATTCAAAGTATTCAAATACCTCTTTGTAATTACCTGACATTCCAAATTTATCAACACCGATCTGAAAATCTGAGTATTTGTGCCACCCAAAGGTAGAGAGTGCTTCAATACTCACCTTTGGAACATCCTTGGGTAAGACGTAGTTCTTGTACTCCAGAGGCTGATCCTCGAATAGCTCAAAGGATAGAAATGAAACGAGAGACACTCTTCTAGGATGAAGCAATTCAACCACCTCCCGTGATAGAGGTACCTCGGATCCAGTAGATAGAATTATTAGCTCTGGATCTTTGTGCTCTATCAGGTAGTATGCTCCTTTACTCATTTTCTCTAGGGAGCTGTGAGATATCTCAGATACATTTTGTCTAGAAAGAACTATGGCAGTGGGTCCTCTTCTTTCTATGGCATATCTAAGCGAAAATCGTGTTTCTAGTCCATCAAAAGGTCTGAAAACAACTAAATTTGGTGTGGCCCTGAGCAAAGCAAGGGTCTCTATAGGCTGGTGGGTTGGTCCATCCTCTCCTAGGCCTATGGAATCGTGGGTTAAGACGTAAATGGCTCTGAGGCTGGAAAGAGCTGCTAATCTAACGGATGGAAATCCATACGTGACAAAATTTAGAAACGTTCCGCCATAGGGAAGATGAACACCTAGAGAGGATATTCCGTTCATAATACCAAACATCCCATGTTCTCTAATTCCATATCTGATATAACTACCAGATCTATCGTCTCTGGTGAATTCAACACATCCGCTCCACTTCGTTAGAACATTCTTGGTGAGATCTGCCGCACCACCAAATAGATTTTTTAGGTGTGGGGCGAATTCATTCAAAGCATTGGAGAAGTGCTTTCTTGTTGCTATACTCTCATTTGACGGCTGGTAGGTGATCTCCAAGTTTATTTTCTCAGGTTCAAATATGTCCTTTATATCCATTAAATTACACTTCTTGCCATTCTGTGAAAGATACTTGGATTTTAATTTATTCCACTCCCCTCTAACTTTCCTATTCTTTTCCTTTATCTCCTTAAAATGCTTATAAACACACTCTCTGATGTGGAATTCTCCATCCATTAGACCAAACTTTCTTTTCAGATCATCAACATTTTCTTTGCCTAAAGGCTCTCCATGTGCTTTGCTATCACCTTCTAACTTACTACCTCTCCCTATGGATGTTTCTAGAATTATAACCATTGGTCTATCCGAGTTTCTAGATAGCGCTTCTCCCATACTTTTTATGTCCTCATTTCCATCTACTACATGTACAATCTCAAAATTTAGCGCTTTAAACCTCTGTACCGGGTCTGATGTCATAGATAGAGAGGTGGGTCCATCTATCGTGGTTTTATTAGAATCGTAGATAAACACTAAATTATTCAAATTATAGTGGCTTGCTATCGAGAAAGCTTCTTCTGATATTCCCTCCTGATAACAACCATCTCCAAAAATACAATAAACCTTACCACTAAACAATGGGTCTCCATTGTTATGACACCTGAGCTTTTGTTGTGCTATTGCCACCCCAACAGCATTAGCTACCCCTTGTCCTAAAGGTCCAGTGGTTACCTCGATTCCAGGGGTGATCTCTCTCTCGGGGTGGCCCGGTGTTTTACTACCTACCCGTCTAAAGCTTTTTAGATCATCCATGGATATGTCGTATCCTATCAAATGATACATAACGTATTGTAAGGCACAAGCATGGCCATTACTGAGAATGAAGACATCCCTGTCAATCCAACTTGGATCATCTGGGTCGAATCTCAAATGATCACTGAACAATTTGAAAACAAAAGGTGCTAGTCCCAACGGTGTGCCAGGATGTCCACTTCTTGCTCTCTCTACCATTTCAACACATATAATTCTTATGTTGTTGATTACTTCCCAAGGATCATCCATATCTCCTTCCTTAATGCTGAGGTTCTAAGTTTAGAGGGTAGATAGAATTCTCTTTTTCAAAGAAGAGGGTTCTGTTTACCTTCACACCACTCTCTTAAATATCAATTTTCAAGTAAAAGTGTCTACTTTAAGTCTTTATATCACTCATCCTACATCCAATCTCATTCAAAAGAGGTATAGTAACTTATTACCTTTAAGATACATTTCAGGTAAAATGAGACATTCATTTATTAATCTTTTGTTCTACCATAAACGGGATGAAAGACCATTTCTCTTTTATTAATTGTAGGATACATTCTAGAAGTATCTAAATAGATGTTAGCTCACTTAAAAGTGAGTTTTATTCTTGTTTAGTACAACTCATTTAAAGATAATTAAATTGAAAGTATAAATTCGGGTGGTGTGAGTTGATACAATGAATGTAACAAGGATTCTTGGGTTTATATGTTTTGTGGCTCTTTGTATCTTTTCAATTGTTGGAGTATTAAAGATGAGGAGAACTATGGAGAGTGGTAATAACAATACAGAGGTTAATGAGCTGATGAAAAATATACATAGTCCCTTTATAAATTATGATACTTTGTCCAATAAAGAAGCAATTATTGAAGAAGAAGATAAGGTCAATATCATTAAAACTGAACCTGATAGCAAGGAGAAAGTAATTAAAAGGGATATTATGGGTATTGAGGAGTGGGAAACACGTGAAAATCCATTTAAAATTATACGCTTTTTGGAGAGTGTATACAATAAAGGGGAAGACATACAAACCATCTGTAATGATACCTTCTTTAGCGGGGTAAGTCCTTGCGATTATTGTTTTTCTTGTGGAAGAATGCTTTTTTTGGAAATTAGAAAGAGATTTGGGAATGAAGTGGATAGAAATAATGTTACGGATATTCTAGTTTCAACTTTCCTCAGGGAATGTGAAAAAATCTTCAGTATGAGTGAGGTGACTTATATAAAGGCTATATTTTGTTGTTTAGATAGGTTAAAAGGTTACACTCCCTAAAACTATAAAGGAGAGGTGAAAATCAAGTATTGTAATTAAATTCGTTGTACCAGGAAATTGAGGTTTATTGACCGTTCTTAGCGTAAATGATCTCCCAATTAACAATTGGTGAGTGGCTTTGAAAATGACTCTTATGAGTTCTCAAGGAAGGGAGTTGGTGGTAGAGAGATAATGAAGTGAACATCTTGACATAGAAACATGGGAAGTATAGAAATACCACATTTTACTATTTCATCCTCTACCCATTGCTTTATACCGTGATACTTCTTGAGAATTACTTTCCCCTATCCCTCAAATGAAAAGATTTGTCTTGGGATCCACAACTATAGGATTTAAATACAGAGATGGTATAATAGTGGGTAGTGATACACATGGATCTTATGGAGCACTTTCTTATAGCAATAATTTGAGTAGAATTTTCATTTTGGATGAGAAGTGCTTGGTAGGGTTTTCTGGAGAGTTCTCAGATATCCAGCACATCAAGAAATTGTTAGATCTGGAAAGGGAGAGAGATGAGAGGGAGATGGATCCCAAAGGATATCATAGCCTGTTACAGGAGTATCTCTATAACAAGAGAAGTAAATTAGAACCATTAAATATATTTTGTTTGGTAGGTGGTATAAGTAGAAAAGTTCACGGGGAGTTAGATGGTAAGTCCCACGAAAGGGTGTTAGGTGGTGTAGATCATCTAGGAAATTTCTTTTTTCCGATGTAGTGTGTAGTGGGATAGGATCTCACATCATAACACCCTATCTCAGAGAGAAGGTTGAATCGAGAATAGATGAGATAGATAGAGGAGAGGCCATAGAGATGGTTAAAGAGTGTATGAAGCTCTTAGTTTATAGAAGCTGTAACTCTATAAATAAAATACAAATTGGAGTGGTAGAGAATGAGTTTTGTGATGTATTAGACCCTTTTTGTATTGAAAGTGAATGGGAAGTGGGAAGGAATGTATAAATAAAGGAGTGAATTGTTAAGAATAGCTAAGGTTTAATTTTCTTGTGAGAGGTACATTTCGTGGTTCTTACTGCCCTTCCGTTCTCTTGGTATATCCCAATGGTAGGTTTAGAGGAGAGTGCGTTTAGATTTGTAAAGGTTGGTGAGAGTGGTGGGAAGATAGAAAGAGAAGGAGAGGGGTATGTAATATACTCTAGTGAAGAGGGAGTAGTGGGTGTTGGTGAATGTAAAATGATACCCACTGGAATATCAATATCAATACCAAAAGAGTACTTTGGACTGGTAGAGGATCTACCAGAAAACGTCTCAAAATTTAAGAAGCTTGGTGGTGTGATTGACAGTGATTATAGGGGAGAGATAAAGGTGTTAGCATATAACAGTGGTGCTAAGGACTTTTCATACCCCAGGGGTGTAGAATTGGTGTTTTGGTATTCGTTAAGGTATCTAACAAACCTTTGATTTGCTTAAATTAAATAAAAATTGAAGCTCCATCCCTCTCTTCTCGGTACTCTCCTCCCATTTGCACCATTCTCTCAATTTAACCCTAAAGAGAGACCCTAGGATTTGATGTCAACCTTTCAAGAAAGATTGGAATCATTCAAGAATTGGTCATTGAAAAGTACAACTTGCACCCCCGAGTATCTAGCACTTGCGGGGTTTGTGTATCAATCACAGAGTGACTGTGTTGAGTGTGTGTTCTGTGAGAAGAGTTTAGAGGGATGGTGTGAGGATGATGTACCCTACATAGAGCATAAAACACATAGCCCATCTTGCATTCTTGTAACCTTGAGCTGTAAAAAGTCGCGACTTAAAACACTCCAACTCTCTGGTGAGTATACAACACCCCAAAAAGCGTTCATAGCGGACCATGGATTCTTTAACTACCCAATAAGAAAGTCAGAGGGATCTGAGCTATTTTGTTACAAGTGTGGATATCAGACAAGCCAAGAGGGTGTATCTCAACACTCATCTACATGTAAGATATCGTTGAAGTGTCTCAGATCAAAGGAGTATTTCTCACCATTTCTACTCTCAGGAAGGTTTCTAACCCAAGTTATGGTTTACTGCTATTCAGATATCTACATTCCATCGACATTTGTTAGTCAAATAGCACCACTCCTAGAACACACCAAGTCCAACTCACTCTCTTCCACTAAGAAGGTTCTTTTACAGTCACTCAATTCATTCCTTCAGTCCCTAGAAGATCAGATGGACAGTGAGATCAGGGAATGTGTTAATCACATAGATAGTAAAATTAAAGGAGTATGACTAATATACAATAAAGTCCATTAACAACTTACTTCCTTTCATTAATGCTCTTTTTCCTATAAATAAAAATTTTTACTAAATGAAGAATTAAGGAAAAATTTGGAAGAGTTTGGTGATTAGGAGCTGTATTTCCTCATTATGCTGTATTATTCATGAAAGATCATAGTTTTAGATCTAGGTGTTAGCCTGTTTAAGTTGAGAGGATAATTGGTGTGAGCCCAAGATTAAAGGAAGTAAAGAATATTTATGGAGACAATTCTATAAAAAGAGGGTACGATAGTATAATGAATTTTTTTGATATAGAAAAAGACCTTATCGTATAGTAGTGGTATTATTAAGTGAGTGATATGGGGGATATCAAAAAAGGACAATGGGATTATTAATAAATGGTAAGAATAAGAATATTGTAATCAAGGGATGATTAATAATCTTTTAAAGAATGGTTTGATAAGCTAGAACTTAAGGGATATTTATTTTATACCACATTAGAAATGGTAAAGTCTTTGGATTACTTGAGATTCTACTATCTTCATAAATTTTAAGATGCTATCTACTAAAGATAAGGTAAGATGTTGAATCAAAGTATGTTATTTTAAGAACCACCCAAAGGTTTAAATAATATTTTAAAGACCATTAAAGAAGTTTTATAAGCTTCTAAAATAAAATGAATATTCTTCATTCTAAGAAGTATTACGGGATTTCATCCCCTAAATAAGATAATTCTTAAATATTCTATATCATAACTTCATTCTATCTCCAATGGTAAGATTTAAGTAACCGAGATTCTACTAAGAAGTCTTACTTTTTCAATCTTCTACAATTAAGTGATTTAAGTTAAGTGGTACTATTACAAGTAGTGAATTGCCAATATTACTCTGAAGTATAATGAATTAAAGTAAGGAGTGATTTCAGTAGCTAAAAAAATGAAGATGAGAGGTTAAAGAAAATTTACTCTATTGAAATGAATGGATGAGTAGGTTTAAAGTGGATTAGGTTTCACCTTATGGTCTGTTTAAAAAAGGGGAAGTGGTATCCAGAAGATCTTCTGGAAAGGATTTAAACCTTATAAATAAAACAAGAACATGTTCTGGAGGAGTATAATGGGAAACACAAAGTATTATCCTTAGTGGAAATGGGGAGCAGCCATAGCAAAGAAGTGAAATGTAACCTGAGAGATAAGATGTGGATTGATGAATGTAGACTGAAGAAAGATAGAATTAAAAATTAACTTTATAATAACAGAGAACATTCAATGTGAAGTTCTTTTTCTGTAATAACCTAAAAATTGATATCTACCCCGTTTATGTTTTGTTTAAAAAGCGGACATTATGAGGTACACACCATAAATTAAAATGTTATAGGAAATGTTAGGAGGTACTACTGGGGAAAGATATGGGATCTTATATAAATGATTTATCTGAAGAAACAAATTAATGCTGAATCTTGAATCAATCTCTAGGGAATTGAGATGGAGTGTTAATGGGTGCTAATAAGAAATGAAATAGGGATGATGTGGAGTGAGGGAATGATATGTTAAAAGAAATGGTAAATTAGAGAGATTTAATTGTTATCATATAGAACGATTCCAGGAGTAGAATTATGTGGTACACTAAAAAATTTGCTATAGCATAGGAATTGGAGGGGTTAGACTATCCCAAAAACTACGATAGCACTTCTAAGAAGATTTAAAGAAATGATGAAATTAAAGAATTTTACGGAAAGAATGTTCTCCGACACTGAGCTAAATTTTCAATCTTTTGATTGCAGTCTGGTAGAGGGTTCTTTACTTCACAGATGTGGTTTATAAAATGGCTAGAGAGAGGAAGAGTATTAAAGAGATAGAAGATGAAATGAATGGATTAGATTCAAGGGACACTTTTGCTAAGGAAATTTATCAATTTTTAAAATGAGAGATAGAAAATTGCACATATCAACGGATTGATCTAGAGCCCTATGACTCAATCCTTTAGTGTAACCCCTATCAGAGTAATAATAAAGGAATGGCCAATCCTTTGTTGTTAATTTAATCCAAAATACCAAGAGAACTAGGGTGTTCTTGGGTTATAAACAAAAGGCAGACATCTGGACATCGAAACGGACCTATCTACAGTAGGGGTATATTACTCTATTTACGTGTATCCATAATATGAAATTGGATTTGGATGTGTAACCTTAAAACCAATTTGAAATTTTGACCTGAAATTTTTTAAACTCCACACTCTTGAAAGGGGTATCTGGAATGTGTTAAGGTGGGATCTAGGTAAGGTATCACAATTTAACCTACTTTTGACGTTTACGTGTGCTCTTACACGAATATCTAAGAATGTGTGATTTAAGTTAAAATGGTCTATTCCTTAATAAAATTTCAATTTTTTACTTTTGTGTATAAATGACCCTTTTGAAGATAATTTTAATTTCTTGGTGGCTACTAGCCCTCTCTCATACAGAGATTGGAAAGTTTAGAAGCTGTAAAAAAGTACAATTTTTGACAAGCTAACACCCCTTCTGAGATTCTAAATGCATTAATTTACAGTTCTATGGTTAGCTTTTTATTACTTAATCTAAAAACCTTAATAGAAGAATTCTAAAATAAAAGGTTTTTAAAAGGTATGAACCTACCTTGGTTTAAATAAGCTATTTAGATTTATACTAAGTTAGATAACTTAAAATGAAAGATTGGAGAATTTTCAATTTAAAAGCAAGCAAGGGGAAGGAAAGAAGAATTCCTTCTATTTTCTAGAATTGTACAAGGAGATTATTAAAGTAAAGAAATTTTTTTTAGGAAGGGTAGGGAGATATTGGAATGGTCTAAACCTTACACCAGGGTTTTTAACGGTGAGATGAGTATAAAGAGAGGATTCTTTAAATCCTGCTATAATGTTGTGGGTAGACACGTTAAGACTGACCCAGGGTATTCTTTAAAATGACGGTGAGGGAGAGTACCTTTAGAGGGTATTGGAAGGTGTGTATTAGAAATTTTTATAATGAGGAATTGAAAAAATCTGTTATACTTACATCCAATGTGTCCCATTGCTGTATATTTCCTTTGTGCTAGGCTTGGGATAATCCACAGTTTTTTTATTTTCAGATTTGGCTATGTAGAAGAGATTCCTCTACTGAGGATTGTTATGAGAGGTGGAAGTAGGATTGATTTTCTGTATAACATAAGGATCTTTTGAAGAAGGAGGGAAATATTGGTAGCGTGGATGTTAAAGAAGGTTCTTATTCAGATTTTAGTGGATCCTTGGGTATCCTCTTACCACCAGGTGTTTCCAATGTTTAAATTAGGGCAATAGTTTGAGGGAGAATTGAAAAAAGTGGAGTGAAACATACTGGTCCAAGAGAAGGACCATCCTTGGTAGAAATGTAAAATCCATTTTTTTTTATTTACATGAGAATAAGGAAAATCTAAGCTACTTAACCAACCATGTTAATGGTGGAAGTAGGATTGATTTTCTATAACATAAAATACTTGAAGATAGAAATATTGGTAGTGGATGTTTTAAAGAAGGTTCTTATTTGGTTACTCTTATTACTCTAATCCTGTTAGCTTGGATGTTTTTCTATATAACAAGGCAGGAGTTGAGATGGTTCTTCTGTGGGAGAAGTATGAAAGATTCAGAAGGATATCTTTTTACTTGTATTAGTGTAGAATCTGAACATCCTTGTTTTATTATATACAGAAGTACTTATTAAGGGGGTCCACACAACTGGTGGATATATGTTTCTATGAAAGAATATAAATGTTGATAAGGGGGATTTTGCCTGTACTGAGATTTGGGATGGATTACCGGTCATTCCTATTCTCTCTATGGCCCCTTGAGCCTGGGTGTGACTACGGTTATTTTTGGGTGTACCTACCTATCCCACACCATTGAGGTTCTATGAAATGATTCAAAAGCATAGGATAACATTTTACACGGCCCCCACGGTAGTGAGAACCTTACAGAAGTAGGAGAGAAAGGAAAGAATTTGTTGAGAGGGTGGATGTCCTTGATCAGAAGTACTAAGAAGAGAGATACGAGGAAAATACAATTTGGGCTCTTTAAAAGTTTTGGGTTCTGTTAAATAAGGAGGCCTATGAATGGTTTTCTAAGTGGTTTGGAGATGACAATTACCCATAATTGATACATGGCAAACAAGGATATCTCCTTGACTCCTACAGGTAGGAACCTTTGCACTTGGGAATGGATCCTCATATAGTCAAGAGAGAGGGTGATGATGGGAAATCACTGAGTGCAAGATTTGAATCTTAGTTTTGTAGGGTGGATGGCCTATATCTATTTTAAATAACCGAGGAAGATACTTGGATGGGTATTTCAACAAGTATCAGGGATATTTCTATACGGGTGATGAGGGATAAAGAGATGAAGATGCTTTTGGATTAGAGGAAGAGCGGATATTTGTCAGGTCATAGACTTAGCACAGCGGAGATCGAGAGTGCGGCATGTAGTGACAGTAATGTAGTAGTGTGCTGTGGTATCTATTGATGATAAGGTGACAGGCCAGGCCATTTGTATGTTCATTGTTACTAAATCCCCAAGGAAAGGAAGCCCCTTAAGAAGACACTTAGAAGACTTAGAATCCAAAAAGGTGATTATAGTGGATGATACCAAGAGACCAGAACATTTGAGATTAAGAACATTCTGAGAGATACCGTAAGGAGGATTTAAGGAATGATACTCTAAGCTAACAAAGAGGGGAATTAAATAAGAATTTAAGTTTAATCTAGCTACTACCCCTTTAAAAAGAAATTGAAGAATGCTAATATTAATTTGCAAGAAAGGACGAGAGTTGATAAATTTGCTAGACAAGGTACTAAGTAAATTATAGAACTCAAGACAGTGTAATAAAATACTTAACTTAGTAATCATTACAAATTTAGACAGTTACATAAATAAAGATGAACTTGTATTCTATTATAATTACTGAGAAGTTGGGAAAGTTAGAAAAGCTGGGAAGGGTTATAACTTTAAACTTAGTGAGGAACTCCAATTAAAAATTTGAAGGATCACAAGGAACGTACGCTGATGACTTATCTTTAACAAAGCAAAATTTATAATTGCTACGTGTGATACCAACTAAAGCAAAGAATTCGAAAATGTCCACTCCTATGTTAGAAAAATATGAAATAGAAAGACTTTTGCACCTTTAAAATAAAAAAGAAATTATCTCTCTCTTGCAACTCTTTAAATAAAACTTCAAGTAGAGGTCTCCACACATTTTAAGTAGTTTTTGAGGTAGAACAAAGAATTTCCTTATCCTTTGAAAGATCCAATCCCCTCCTCAGAGACTCTTTCAGTAGAAAATTTAGAATTTTAGAGTTTTTAAACTTCTTTACCGTTACATTTAAAAGCTCTAAAAAAAGCTTTATGTAAAATATAGAAAACAACTCCATCAAGGGTATGGTACCATCCCCTCCATCTCTCTTAACAACCCCTCTACATTTTTGTATATCCTGTGGATATCCTTCTTACCCTTTCCATCACTAAATAGCATTTTTATTGCCTCTAAGTGCTTCCTTTCTCTTTCATTTCTCTCTATTTCGTATCGTAGAGAGATACTCTCCCTTTCCCTTCTATTCTCTCTTTAAGAAGGTTCTCACTCTCATCTTCGTAAATATTTAATATCCCATCACTCCCTCCTGTGTACAGCAATTTAAAGATAGTGCCATTGCTATACAAAATACTCCATATCCTATCCACGTGGTTATCTAACATCTCTACACACTTCCTTCTTTTTATATCCCATATCCTAACAATACCATCACTCCCTGATGAGATAACCCTCCTATCATTCTCATAGATAACGCATTTCAGCACACTACAACCACTTTCTAACACACAGATACACTCAAAATCCCTTAATCTCCATACCCTGATGGTATTATCACTACCAGAGCTAACCATTAGCTCGGTACCAATACTAACACTCCAGACACCCCTCTTATGGCCCTTTAGAGTAAAGATGTCCTCCATATTAAAAGTACCACCAGAGGTAATGGAGTATTTCATTACCTTTACCGTCTTATCTTTAGATCCTGTAACAATCAACTTCTTACTCTCATCTAACTCCACACAGTTTATCTCTTTACTGTGAATCATCTTGGTATAAACATTGTTTATGGATGTATTTCCATTGGGATCTCTATATCTAAAAATCTGTATCGATAAATCCTTTCCAACACTCAGAAACAACTCTTTACCTATACAGCACCCATTCACTACATCTAAATGGGTGTTTAACATCCTATGTTCTACCACTTCCAATACATTCTTTCTATTAGCACACAGCTCACAAAAAACAACCTTTCCATCTCTACCACAAGACAATAAAAAGTTACCATAAATGGAAAGATTCATTAAGGTATCACCATGATATGAAATACACCCACCACTATACACAAACACCCCTTCGCTATCCTTAGGATCACTTAAATACATCAAAGTATCTCCAACCACAAAAGTAAGTCCTTATAAATCTTTAGATCTGTTAACTCCACAAAGTTAAAGATCAAGAACAGCACCTTAAAGTCCTTACTCGTTACTACCACACTACCGCTAGATATTAAAACATTCACATCACTGCAAAGATACACTTTAGCAATACTACCACTCTCTATGATTGGTATGTCATTTAAATAACTCAACTCCACATCATACCTTAAAAGGGATGTACTACCACTACTAGCTATAATAAAGCATCCATCTTCAAATTTAACATCCTCTACCTGAAATGGTAGCTCCAAAGATTTAATAACTTCAAAATCTTTAAATTTCACGATTTTATTATCCTTTCCTATGCTGTAGAAACATTCCATCTCCCTTATGTAAATGACATTGATTATAGAACCACTGTGATATTTCACTATCCTAGGCTTACTATCCTTAACAACCAAAATATTACCTTCTATATCCCCAGATACGATAATGCATCCCTTGTCTTTGTATAAGGATATAAACGATATGTTATTTACTAGCTTATAAGTACCAGTTACATCTAATTTCATATTCAATACCTTAACTAATCTATCTGTACTCCCTGTTATTATCATCTCTTCATCTTTAAAGTACTGAATATGTGATATTCCAGATCTGTGTATCTTTTTAGAGGTAATAACACTATCATTGATATCTAAGCTAGTGTTACCATCATTGGATACCTCTCTTATCTCCATTGTACCATCTATCATTCCAATGAAAATTAAAAAATTGTAATTTTTATTCAAAATCGATTCTGAGTTATCATCAGAGGTATTACCTCTCTTAACAACGTGCATGGATGTAATATCTATGTCTAGAGATAGTTCTTTGATAATCCTCTTCTCTGGTAGATATGTGATATAGAGAGTGTTAGTAATATAAGTAAATAGAAATCTCTCCAGACACTCCACAGTACCCGTACTGTAAATGGATTTGTACCGTCTCTTCAACGTAAACTTTGAATCCATCTCTGAAGTTTTATTTTAACGGTTAGAAAATTTTAAAATTTTTATAGGGTGTGAGGAGTACCATCGGTGCAATACACCACTCCACCATTTAGCTATCAACCTTAAAGCATAGCAAACCACAATTTGAACCTCACTTAAAAATTAGCTTTAATTACCTTCTCAATTCACCTCAACTACCTCCTCAATCTCACCCTCCACTTTTGGTCTTTTGAGGACCTTAACCTTCCTGGTGTAGCAATTTTGGAGTGGAAATATCGAGGAACACTGCCTCTCGATTTCCTTTCCCACCTTCTCGGTACACATCTTCTTCATCACCTTCTCAATGTCAGAGGTAGAAAACTCCTCCTTAATAATCTCAAACATTCTCTGTCTGATCTTCTTAACCTTGGCTGTGGTGGCATAACACGTCTTCTTAACATGGTCAGGCCTTCTCTTTGTTATTCCCATAACAAAAACCCTGAGAAGATAGTCATCCTTAGTTCTAACCTCAACATTCCCCTCTATCAGGGTATGCCATTTTCTAATAATCCCCCTCTGCTTATCTATCGTGAGCTCCATTCCATAGAAAGATGCAACAGCATCGGATCCCTTAAGGGAATCCACTATGAACTTAAACTTTCTACAAGAATGCTCCTCATTCCCAGGATTTAAATCTCCTTGACTCACAGTGAAACACCTTCCTACCAATCCCTTCTCCAAATTCTGTTTCGTTGATATTCTCGATATCAAGGTCTTACCAACATTTTTATTAACAAAGACAGAGGGGACCTTCAAACCATACCATTCCTTCTTATCAAAGGCATCTACCACTTTCCTCTTAACACCCTTCTTAGTACCTTTCTTACTTCCACCCTTTGAATTACCACCTTTCTTTGCCATTCTTCCTTTTCCTAGGGTTAGATTTTTCAAATTCTAAAATTTTTCATTTTAAGGGGTCTTCTACAAAGGAGGGGTTATTTAACACTTTACCCATCCTTCAATTTATTTCTTTTATTTTCTCATAAACCTTCTCTACCGTATCATCTGGTCCAGCAACACACACTCCTTTAACTCTCTCATCCTTAAATATCTCATAATCATTCCCTCCTTGGTGCGTCATATCACCAAAGAAGTAGATTTCCCTGATTCCCCTACCATGAACATGTCTAATACAGTAGGTCTTATCCCACCCTTTAGGAAATACATCTATTGATATTTCACCACCTATGCTAAAATGAATGCCATACTTGTCAAATCTCCTCTTCAACTCCTCTACCATTCTCTCTCTAATTCTATATTTCACATCATACTCCTTAAAACTCTTCCTTTCATCTCTGCTACAGCTCCTTCCTATGGGACTGATGTTAACCATGGAATTTCTATACTCAATGAATGTACCTCTCTTTACTGGAATGTCTATCTTACTTAAATACTCTAAAGAGAAATTCACCATTTCTTTGTACCTCTCCTCTCCTATAACATTGATAAACCTCTCTTGTTCTACTAAAACCTCTCCCTCATAGAAGCTAACACCATTCTCTGGAAATCCAAAATCAAAGAACCCTAAACAATCCTCTCCCATCTGCTCTTTCTGTTTTTCTATGTCCGATCCTCCCACAAACCCAATATACACCTTCTTTCTTATGGACTCTAGCATCTCCCTTACGTTCTGTGTTATTTTCTCTCGAGACGGTGTTAATGTTCCATCTACATCAAATAAGAACAATATCTTCTTCTTTCCTTCCATTCCCCCTTTTCTAGATCCTGGTTTTATCCTTCCTTTGAAACAGTGATGAAACGAAGGATTTAAAGAAAGGGGAGTGGAAGGAAAGAAAGGGAATGTGTGGAATAATTCTTTGTGGTGTACAACAAAAGGAGAAAACTCTGGATGCACCTCCTACAAATTACCAAGAGGCACCCACAGATATTATCTGTACATTTTGTACTTTTAGAGGATCAACCGTCTATAGAAGAAAGGACATGTGGTACACCCTCTTTTTTATACCGTTATTTCCCATCAAATACGGTGAACCCTACATTTCATGTCTCTCTTGCCATTCCACCCTGGGGAAGTATTCCCTTAGATACTGCCACTCCTGTAGGACAGCTGCACCCCCAGGATTTTCTTATTGCGTTAGATGTGGTAACTCTCTGACCCACTCTAACCAAGAGAGTTGAGATAGCAGTACAGGAGCAATCCTTCACTTCCATTTCTGAAACAAAGATGAAGTAAAACAAAATATAAGGAAAGAGAAAAAAGAATTTCAGAGAGAATGTGTAGATGTCTAGTAGTTGGTTGTAAATACAAAGAGTATACCTATGATAACACACCAAATAATTATCCAGAGGCACCTCAGTACATAACATGCATTAACTGTGGAAACAAGGCAGATGCCGTGTATAGGAGAGATGATTACTACGTTTGCTGCTGCTTCTTACCGTTGTGCAGGATATCTAAGGGCGATCCTTATTTAAGCTGTAAGGTGTGTCATTATAGGTTCAGTAATTATGGGACCCATGTTTGTTCTAGGTGTAGGACAGCATCACCAGCCAGCTTTACTTACTGTCCACAGTGTGGTAATGAAGAGAAGGATTAGAGTAAGCTCAAACTCATTTAAAATTTTAATTAAAAGGATAGAAAGTTGAATTTTAAATTCTTTCCCACTCCCCCTTCCCCTTTTAATGAGTTCCCAAACTACAACCCAAGTAGAGCAAAGTGTCAGATTGAGATTGGTACTAAATAGAAGAGTGGTATTTACACCCGAGACCATTGACAATGAACACAAGAAAGGTAGAAAGAGCAAGGTGTGCTGTATTAACAGAATTGATAGAAGTAGAAGGGATGTAAATAAGTACGAAAGGAATTACAAAAAGTGAAATAAAAAGGCACTCTTCTCCTTCTCTTCCTTCTTTTAAAATTTAAATTCTACCCCCTGCAAATGTCTCTCTCTGTGAATGACACCTTTAAAACTCAGAAGGATACAGAACTGGCAATAAAACAGTTCGTTCAGTCACAAAACTTTACTTATAACACAGTTGAGGTGCCAAACAAGTCATTTTCCATACTTTGTAAGGGGAGTAAAGATTTTGGATGTGATGCACAGATCACCTCATCACATAGAAAGAAGGATGATGTCTTTGTCATTAAAAAGATAAAATTAGTGCATAAATGTCCTCCACAGATTCATTCTAATGGGATGGACTACATAACAAATGAAATAAATTCTATTTTAGCAGAGGGGATCTCCGGGAGGATTGGTGAGATCATCTCACTGTTAAGTAAGAGAAATATCAAATTGGGATACTTCTCCGTATGGAAGTCCTTGAAAATTGAAAATAAAGGAATGCTGGAGAATGACTCCAAAGAATTGGAAAATATGGCACTTTTAGATCTCCAGGAGGAGTTCATCTCCCTGAATCCCCACCTCTATACCAACGCTAAGGATGATCTCTTCTTTGTTGGCTTTCCCACGTTAATCGAGCATTCAAGGAGAGTAATGGAAATTAAAATTTTTGAGAGGAGAGTGAGTGGTAAGTTACAAGGAGAGGTGATCTATGGCGTTCTTTATGATCCGCTAGATAACCCAGTTGTATTTTCATTTCTAGTTTCTAACACCTCTAACTTAGAAGAGTCTTTAAAATTCTTCATAGAGAACAACTCCACACTCATTCAAAGGGTGGGGATTGGTAAAGGTGCTAAACCAAATGAAGGAGAGATGGATCAAAATGGGAATAAGGAGAACGTCTTTAATGTAGGGAATGAAAGTGTTATACCAAGAAATGATGGTGTAAAGAGTGGAAATAGTTTATTAATGGTGACTTATGTTATAGATTTTGATAGTGGGGTGATAAAGGTATTAGAAGAGCTGAATGTAAAGTTTTTTATAAAGGTAAGAGAGATCTGTAAATATCTCTATGGCATTAACGGGGATAGACAAATTATAGAAAAGGTGTGGGGTATGTGTAATTCTTACAATTCTAAGGAGGATATAGAGATCATGGAATTAAAGGATGTGAATCCCAGAAGGTACATTTTGAATGAATTTGAAGATAACTTATTTAACATCCAGAATTACCCAGAATTGGATATAGAGTTCATCTCCACCTCTGTGTATTCTATGAATTGGTTTGATAGCATCAATTCCATTATTAAATTGCTGAGTGATAACTTTAGAAGCAGGGTTAATGCATTAAATGATCCCAGGTCTAGTACTGGTGCACTGAGGAATAGCACCGCCTGTGGGGAGCAGTCAAAAAGGAGTGGTAAGAATGAAGAATTGAGAATAGATGAGAGTGATAGACTTTTTAGAGAAAAGGAGGGTTGTACCGATTTAAAAGTCAATTTTGGAGAGAATGTGATTTTACGAATAGAAAGGAATGTGGAACTCTCTCAAGGATACACCATAAGAGATGACAACTCAGTAGAGCATGAAAATAAAGAGTATGTGATAGATTTGGAGAGTGGGATCTGTACGTGTGGTAGATATCAAATTTATTTAATACCTTGTACTCATGCTTGTAGATTGATTCTAGAGAGGAGAGAGGATCCTTACAGGTATGTTAGCAGCATTTATAGCAAGGATGTTCTTAGGGATATGTTGATTGAGGTGGTACCAGTGGTTAATGAACCTGTTAAGATATCCTCTGATAGATCCTTCCTCAGAAAAGGGCCTGGCAGACCCAAGAAGGGATCACAAAGTAAGAAAAAGAGTGTTAATGCTGTAATACCACAAATCCAGAACCTTTAAATAAACTTTAATTTCAAATCACCGCATTTCCTCCAGCTGGCATCCAAAATGTCAGAGAATTGGAGGATGTAACAAATTGCGAATATTTAGGGTTAAAAAGTAAAGAGTTGGACTCTCTTGGAAGGTTAGAATAGGAATGGATCTTCTTTCTATTTAATATATCATAAACAAAGAGAATGTTACCATTGCAGTACACAAAGTACTTGGAATCGGGTGTAATACTACCATCACTTCTATTTTCAGTGCTAAAGGTACCATAAATATTATATCCACTTGTCTCTATGATGGTATGAGTTGTAGAAGAGCTAAGAATTATAAATTTGTTGTTGGGAGTGTATCTCATTTTAAATATTTCTTGTTGGTTAAGAAGAGTCAGAGTTTTAACTGGACCGTACTGCATGTTTCTATCATCGTAGACCTTTAACAAGGAATGGTTAACAGAGACACAGAAGTTATTGGAGGTAGAGAATGCACTCAAAGAGTTTAGACAATTTAGGGAGTAGATTGGCTTTTTAATGCTTAGATCCCACAAGTAGGTACATTCCTTTGATGAGCTCATGAAGGTGTCGTTCAAAGGGTTGGATGTGATACTCCTCACTAAATTTTTGTGGCCAGGGAAATTCCTTATGTACTGGTTATCGTAGATAGAGAGGTATCTAATCAAAAGATTTTGGGTGTGGAGGAGTGTATTGGGGAAGAGGTAGTTTATTTTGTTGATGTTTGGTATTGTTATGTTATTCCTCAGTGATCCATCCATTGGAGAGTAGATCTTCAGTCTATCCTTCATTGATACGGCAAGAGAGGTGCCGTTGTACAGAAAGTCCATTCCAGTGATTAAAGAATTCTCTTTAAAAGATTTTGAACTTTTAAAACTCTTCATGACACCTTCTGTTAAGATCATTTTTTAGAAAAGGGGAAGGGGTGATGAGATAAAAAAGAGGAATAATGGAAGGGGTAATGGAAAGGTTTAATAAAAAAGAGGACTTTGCTATTGAAGAGGTGAAGGATAACAAAATTATTACCAAGTTTGAAGTACCTAAAGGTACTAGTATGGATAGCATTAAGCTAAACCATGACGATTCCTCCTATTCTTTATGTTATACTATAGAGGAGGAGAAGAAGGATAAGAATATCCACTACAGATCTAGCAAGTCTTGTGGGTACAGTAGGACCTTTCCCTTTAAGATTTCAAATGTCCAAGCAAGACTTAAGGAAGGTCTTCTTACTGTTGAGTTTGACAAGGGAGAGGATATAAAGCAAAGAGAGAGAGTGTCAGTTCCAATAAAAGATGAGAGGAGTGAGAAGTAAAAATAAAAGATGAGAGGAGTGAGAAGTAAAAATAAATAAAAGTACGATTTCGAATTTTCTTATTAAAAATTATCCAACCCTAAAATGAAAGATCTCCAGAGCACAAACACAGAGAGATCCTCAAACCCACAACTCAGAGGTAGGTTAAGAGACATAACCAATAAAAATAAAGAGAAGGGGAAATTTAAAGATCAAATTCAAGAGGTAGAAAAGGGTTATATCACCACTGATGAAGAGATCCTTTTCCTGGATATCATAGACCAAGAAAGTACCTCTTCAGAGTTATTCAAACATTTGCAAATAAAATACGCTAAGAAGAAGTGAATTTAATTAAAATTTTTATCTTTTGCTATACTCCCCCAGCCCTTAGATGACAGAAAGTTTTTGGAAATTTTTGAGTCTTGGATTGATACTCTACTTGGTGATAGACAAACTACGAAGGATTGGGGGTAGGAGTAATAGACAACTCAAGGGTACTAACAAATCTGGTGATAAAGGAGAGTATGTTATGAATGTGATAATAAGAACAGACCTAAAGATGGGTAAGGGAAAGGTACTAGCACAGGTATGTCATGGCATAACGGGAGTAATGAACTATTTAAACACAGACAGGGAGCTATACACCAAGTGGAAGAGATGTGGTGAGCCAAAAATAATCCTGAAGGGTACTTCTCAAGATATCTGTGAGGTGTGTTCCAGGGCTAAAAGGAACAATGTTCACATCTACAAAGTGTATGATGCAGGGAGAACACAGGTACCCTCCGGGTCTAACACAGTGGTAGCAATTGGGCCAGCACCTAAAGAGTTGCTGGGAATGATAACGGGACATTTGAAATTATACTAAATATTACTTTTAAAATTAGCATTTTTAGTCTTTTCTCTCTACCCCATAGTTACTCCATGGCACCGCTCTTTCATTGCTGTAATAATCCATGGAGTACTCCTCCAAATCGTTGAATACTTCGTAAGGGTTCAGTAAGGGTTTAGGATAGGAGCTACCCCAATCCAAGCTAAGTCTTGTACAGCTAATTTGTACGAAGGAGTCGATGAAAGGAAAGGAATTCAAAATTTCTTGGTTTATCTCTCTAATTTTTATGGGATACAAAAGATATCCCTTCTCTTTTAAATAGCTCCATACAGCCTCAAAGATACCCCCATTCCCCTGTCTTCCTAAAGTACCCAAAATTACACCAAAAGATCTCCCCATCATAGCCCTTCTCTTCTCCTCCGTTCTTACCTTCAACATTTTCTCATAGCCATACCTTTCTCTGCTCATTTTTTTACTAAACGGACAATATTTATAAAACCCTTCTATTTTAGGGTTATTTATCATTACACTCTCTAAATGGAATCTCCCATCTCCAATAAAAATACAAATTTTACTTTCTTTGATCTTAGGTGAGGTACATCCAAGAACCTCTCCATAACTTAAGGGTCTTATCCTTGGTATCTCACAACGTATCTCCGGTACTTTAATACATCCAGTCTTTTCACTATTCTCTTCCCTCATACTACTTCTATTGTTCATCTCTATCTTTCCTATTACATTTCTAATACACTTGTTAAATTGAATAGTTCCCAAAATGCAAACCTCTGATACTCCACACTCTCTACAAATTTTATAAACCATCTCTACACAGTGAGAGGTATCAAAGACCGTATCCACAAAAATGTAAAGAACCTTTAAATTCATAAAATTGATCGGGACTAGACAAGAATGGCCATAATGTATCAAAAGATCGCACCCTAAGAGAAGAGAGTTCTTATCATCAATACAACATCCTCCATAAACAACATCTCCCAGAATTATTGGTACTGCTTTGGTATACCTCGTTATTATATCACAGAGTGTTAAGGAGTATTTCAATAACCCATCTGGTAACTGTAAAGCTACTCTTTTAGAATTATTTCTTCTTATCGTCTTTATGGTTTTTTCTATCTCTAAATTATAGTTCCTGGGGAGATACCTCTTACATTCCGAGAGTTCCTCCTCTAATTCTCTCTCATTTTCATTTTTCAAGAGTAACACCATTGGGGTGTGACTAAAAGTGCGGTAAATAAACAGCACCATCACCACTCACCCTCTATGTAATAAACATTCCTGTCTTGTGAACCAATAACCACACCCTTACCAACTCTTACCATACAGTTCACACCCGCTGGTATCTTTCCTTTATCTATACATCTAACGCTTTCCCCAGAGTAGCTCCAAATCCTAACAGATCCATCTCTTGCGCCTGTACAAAAGTGCTCCTCGAAATTGCATCCAGCTTTAATCCAAGAATCGTGTGCATATGGAAGGGTCTTAACTACTTTCTTGGTATCCCCACTCCATCTCTTCATAGAACAATCTCTTCCCACGCTAATCAAATCTCCTCTGTGCTCTATGAGCTGGTGAACAGAATCGTAGTGTGGTGGTTTTAGCAAGCCACTCTCCTGAGGCGAGATATATCCTATGGTATGATCTCTACTTCCAGAGTAGAGGGTATCTCCTATTAATTCCAAAGTAAAAACAGTACCTCTATGTAATGTCTTGCTCAAAATGTCTTTCTCGTTTCTTGTATCGTATATACTGACAGACCCATTCTCATATCCGCAATACAGCAGATCTCCCCTTATTCTGATTACAGAGAGAATACCATTCAACTTTATACTTCTATTTTCCTTAAAATTTCCTCTAACATCTACCCGCTTCACAACATCTTTTAGGGTATAATACACACACCCATCCACCTCATTGCATTGAACATTTTTAATAATGGAATCTTCATTTATCAATAAATTTGAATTATTCTCTCTTGAAATATCGTAATATCTCACTGTACAATCATTAGAACTGCTATAAACCTTAGAATCTAACACCCCAACAGAATTCACCACATTTTTATGTCCTGGAAAAGTACCTCTTACCTTTAAAGTGGTTTTAGAATCTAAAGATGGAAAAATTGGAGAATCTAGGAAGGCACATCCCTTAGATGCAGGTAAAGGGGTGTGTATTGTAGTTGGTGGTATATTAAAGGATGTGTTATCCTCTATGATTGATGTATCAAACTGCGTAAATTTGTTCATACAGGGAGAAGAGATATCTCCTTCGATACATCTTCTTCTTTTAAAAGACTCCCCTTTTATTTCATCATCCAAGAGAAATCTTACGACTCTTTTGTGTTTTACATCAGTATCTCTCTCGCCTCCCATACCATCCCTTAAAGTTGCATTTTCTCTTCCTTTCCCTGAGATCACTTTTCTCTGGACCTCTCTTGTTCTTTTGAGTTCTTCTTCAACTGCCTTCTTCTCTTCTCTAACCTTCCCAAGTTCTACATAAAGCTTTCTTATCTTCTCTTCATAAACCCTCTTGTTAAAGTTATCAATCTTCTCTATCTTACACTCTCTTTTGTTTACAACTACCTCTGTTAAACTGGAAATTCTATCCTCATACTTTCTAACCTCATTTTCTGTTAGCTCTTGCTTTTTAATTCTCTCCCTCAAACACAAATTTTCCTGTCTCAATCTCTGAATCTCCTTCTTCAATTCAAGATTCTTCAGATTATTGCTATCAACCTCAACACCTCTTTTCATTTCATTGCAAATGTTCATAGCCCTATTTGCATATTTTAAGGTATTATGTGTTTCCGGTACATCTTTCCCACTCACAGAAATACAGGCTATCATCAGAGTATTAGAATTGCCACCAAGAGAGGATTGTAGGATTCTAGTTAACTTGCTATCTCTATAAGGTATATGAAATGATTGCTTATCTTTACCCATCTTGTTGTTCATTTTATATAACGAGGAGATTACATTTCCCAGTGATAGTAACCCACTATTTATAGAGATGGATTCTTTAACTCTCTCTCCCACAACCTCAGTTCTTTTAATTCTCTCAGACCCGGCTAAATCAACAAAATTGAACTTAGAAAGAACGGTTCGTCCTCCCACTACTCTCTTAAGGTTCAATGTAAATATGGCATGAGATCTCGACGATGAGATGTTCATTTTTGTAGATTTAGTAGTTCTTTCTAGACACCCTTTTTTAAGTAGTGCTATACACTCCTTGATATCTTCAACGGTAAACTCTTTAACACCGTAAATAACTATCTCCCCATTTACCTCTCTTAGAGATAGAGGCGTTCTAAGACCAGAGAGTATATCTATTACTTCCTCATTGTATATCTCTATAAAACTACAGTATAACTCAAACTCTTTATCTTTCTCAATATTACCATAAAGATATTCCAGGCTTTGAATTACCATTCCTTGGTTCTCTCTATTCTCATTTCTCAAATAAGAAATTAAATTTTCCAGAGAAATCCCCATGGTATATGTCTTACCACTTCCTGTTTGACCGTAGGCTAAGATGGTACAATTATACCCTTCTATAAATCTATCTAGCATTGGCACTACAGTTCCTTCAAAGATATCTCTCTGCAAAGAGTATTGATCCCATATTCTATCAAATTCGTAGATCTTGGATCCTAAAGAAAGCTTATTTTGGTTTACCTCAGAGATATCATCTCTACAAGGTTTAATTCTTATCTCCACCTTTACCTTACCGCTGTTCATAGCACTCTTAGTATCATTGGCAATATTTAAAATGTTTTCTTTCTCATTTTCAGCTCCTCCATTTCTCTGTTTATGCATTTCTATTTTTTATAATTTAAGGGTGAGTTAGGGAGATGGAAAGAGATAAGTAGTTTTTGAGCAAACCTCAAGAATTTTACCAAATTTTCATTCTCCAAGTGCCTTCCACATTCTTTTTCTTTTTTCCTAATTTTTAATACCCAAAAATAAATGAAGATACTCTTCAAGTCATTCCTCAAGGACACAAGGATAGTACTTATAAAATTAATAAATGAGTACGTTAGGAGATCACTCGTTCAAAAGTTAATAAAATTTGTATTAGAGCTAGCTATGGGAGTGATAATAATTGGTGGCATCTCTCTTGTCTTAATGAAGCTTCTCTACTTGGTGTATAATTCCAAGAGAACCTATAAGAAGAAGAAACCAAAAGAAGAGAATCTCAGGGTATTTGATTTGCATAAAGGAATCCATAGAGAATTAGATATTAATAGATTAATGCTTAGAAACACCCCAATATTCCAATTCTTTCCAAGGTATTTGAACAGAGTGATCAATGGGAAATCCCATCTTTATAAAAGTAATGAAGTGATAGACAAGAATTGTATTATAATAGAGGGGAGAGTATCTGTTAGGTATGAAAATGAGTGTATTGGTATTAAGGAGCGTGGTACCATGTTATATGGATCTATAGAATGTGTTAGAAAAACAAGAACGATTAAAATCGAAAGAGTCTCCCTTTGTGACACAAAGGTGTTATTCTTGGATATACCCAAGAATATGAACTATCCTATCTTCTCCATGCTGAGGAAGGTAAATTTTAACATTTATTGCAACTATTTTACCTTTTTATACGATATGTGCAAGGTGAATGTAATGGAAATGGAGCTGAATGATAAGGATCCAAGTGTACATTCCCTCTTAAATGAAGTTTTGGATCTTTTTAGGATAAAACCGGAAAGGAGAGGGGAAATAGAAAAGAGTATTGAAATAACACAATTTGGAGAGGAGATGATCTATAAGAGAGGTACTGATAAGCTGAAAAATATTTTTGTGATTTTAGAAGGGAGAATGAGAGTTGAATTTGTGGATGGAAGATCTTTAGAGTTGGGAAAGTTTAAAATCTTTGGGTACTTTTTCGGTTTTTTTAACTTTTCTGAGGGATTTTCCATAAGAACACTGAAACGGAGTAAAATATTGAACATACCTCTGAAATATCTAAATTTGAGTGAGGAGAATTTTGATTTTTCCAAAATAGACCTCTTACCTGAGATATTCTTGGCGATAGATTCCACTTGTGAGTGGATTAGACTGCACCCAGGAGATATCCTAACAGAGAGGGATGATAAATGTAGGGAGATATTTTTGATAGAGAACGGCAGATTGTGTTCCATAGAAAATCAATCTATGGAATATTCCAGTGGTGGATCTATAGGAGACAAGGAATATTTAAGAGACTCTACTTGGAAACACACCTTGGTTGCAAGAAAAATAACGGATGTTATAAGGATAAGCCCATTGTTAACACAATATGTAGTTAAAAAATTCGCAGGACAGAGCTTGGAGTATACCAAGAGGTTATTTGATAATAAGAAAATTCAACCTGGCAAAACAGTGACAATTATTCCATGCGGTAGCACCGAAGAGACTGGGATTTTTGCTGATAGGCTACAAAACACTCTTGGAATGAACTCCCTATTTCTAACAAGGAAGGATATCTCCCAGGTCTTGGGAAAGAATGCATTTGATAAGATAGGAGAGCTAAAGTTAACAAACTACATAAGCAATAAGGAAAGGGAGTATGAGGTGATTCTCATCCTAGTAGAGAATATTTATTCCAGATTATTTAAATATCTCATTTCTTTCTCCGATATTCTTTTGGTGGTAGTGGATGGAAAGAGTGAGGAAAATGGTGTGGTTGGTGGAATGGGGTTAGGAAAGGGAAGAGAGGAATATTTTCTTAGAGAGAATTTGTTCTGTAGAGTTGAGTTAGTCCAAATCTATGAGGAAAGGAAGAAAAGAAGAAGTGGAATAGAGAACATTTTAAGGGTGGACCGATTTGATATTGAAAGAAAGATAAGAGAATTTGGATCTGTAAAAACTAGAAGAGAGAAGGGCGATGGAAGTTGGAGATTTACATTCAATAGAATCCATAACGTAGCATCTCCGTCTAGGATTAATAATTTTTGTACAAAGGATTACGAAAGACTCTCAAGATCTCTCTTAGGAAAGAGGATTGGTTTAGTACTTGGAGGAGGTGGTGCTAGGGGATTGGCACATATTGGAATGATACAAGCCCTAGAAGAGGAGGGAATTCCCATAGACTGTGTGGGAGGTACGAGTATGGGAGCATTTATAGGTGCACTGTATGCCAGAGAGTGTGATAATATTAGGGTTTTTAGAGAGGCCAAGAAATTCTCAAGTAAGATGTGTAGTAGATGGAGACAAATCCTAGATCTAACCTATCCAAGCTGTTCTTTATTTACTGGAAGGGGATTTAACAGAGCACTTGGTAATATTTTCAAGGAAGAGTTCATAGAAAGTCTATGGATAGAATATTTCTGTATTTCTACAAACCTTATAACCTTTGAAGAGATGGTGCATAGAAGCGGGTTGCTCTGGAGATACGTCAGAGCCAGTATGAGTCTTAGTGGGTATCTGCCACCAATCTATGATAACAACCATCTACTACTAGATGGAGGGTATATGAACAATGTTCCAGCAGATGTAATGCTGGATATGGGAATGGACAGAATTATAGCAATAGATGTAGGGTCCAATATTATGGATGACTATGATGAGTATGGAGATTCCCTTTCAGGATTTTATCTTCTCTGGAACAAACTATTTGGTACTAAGAAGTTTATGAACCTTACGGAAATACAGTACAGGTTAGCTTATGTCTCGTCCCAGAAGAAGATGAGAGAGATGTTAAATAACGATAAGATAATTCTTTTAAGGCCGGAGATGGATAAGTACGAGACTATGCACTTTAACAAATTTGAGGAGATTGTAGCGTGTGGTTATAACTACGGTAAAAAGATAGTCAAGGAATGGAGGGAGACAGGAGAGTTTTTTAGATACTTTGGAAAGCACGGAATTAGAAAGAAGAGGAGGTATTCAATTTGATGATTCTGGAAATAGAATTATTTCTCCATAGGGAGCTTCTTGATATACCTTTACTTTACCCTCTCCTGCGAGTTTAAGGATCTCTAAGAATGCTTCACATCGATCCTTTCTGTCCAAGTGTTCTATTTTTCTATTAAAAATGAACTTCTTTTCATGTTTCAATTCATTAAAAACCTTTTCTAAGACATCTTCACTGTACCTTTCGCATGAGAGGGTGGTGTTACTATTTCTAATTCTCTCTACAGAGGTAATGTCACTATAAAAGTTATCATTAAATGAGGTACAGGTGTTGTCATCAAAGGGATTCTCTACCTTAATACTTCCATTTTGGGTTATCTCTCTTTGATTTACATTTTCTAACTCATCCCTTACGACTCTTTCCAATTTGATGAAAAGATAAGTGTTTTGAATGTTAAATGGATGTAAATCCAAAGATGGTATTTTAGGTTTATTTTCTCTGGTAAGCAGCTCTTTAAGCGACAAGTCTGTCCTCTTGTCTACTCTATCCAGGGCTTTACCTTTTTTACACTTTTACTTACCTTACTATCTTCTAAAGGATGTAGGGTTATAAAAGGTGTGTTATCATTAGAAAAGAATTCTCCCATAGAACTGTTCCCCATGGGATGTATTATCTCTTCGTTAATTGAAATGAACCTATCTGTGGAGGTATCATTGATACTAGAAACATTCTCCCTTGGTATTTCTATATCCGAACTAGGTATGATAGAAGTGGGTTCATTCTGAGGATTCAAAGAGGTATTAACTCTAGTTATGTATCTATCTTGTAAATCCAAAAGATTGCCAACTTTCCTTTTTACAATTCTATTCCTCAAGATCTTTCTTTTAAAGCTTAGAGAGCCCAAAAGAAAGGAAATTTCGTTTTGGTAGAATCTTAACTTCATGCAGTATACCTTAACTATACCCTTTAAAAGAAAAGAGTAAAGTCTTAGAGCAAAGGGTACGGGTGGTTTTCTGAGATCCAATATGGTGTGTTCTATGTTTATTCTTTCAATTTCCCTTTTTTGTATCTTTCTATAAGAATTATTGGTAGCTGAGATGTAGTACAGGATAGCCAAGGAGGTTTTCTGTCTCAAGGAAAGAATTTCGGTGGCATAGAACATCTTTTATTCATGCGTTCCATTTTCCTTTTATACTCTCTCCATTCATGCAAAACACTAAGAATATTGCATGAATGGAGAGAGTATAAAAGGAATGAAGCTGAAAAGATTCAAAAATTTGGTTTATGGAACGATTGAAGACATGGGAATTTGATACACAATTTCTTAGTTTATCACACAATATATCTTTTCAATTAATCAAATTCAAATCTAAAATTTGATCTTTTAGATCTACCACATTACTCCGCGTCATCATCCGGATAAGATTATTAGTTCAAAAAATTTTCGTGTTAAAAGGCATAAATAAAAAGTACAGGAATTAAAACAAGGCGTTTTTGATAAGAGAATAAAAAGAACACTGTGAGAATTAAAGAATGGATGATTATAGAAAAATAAGAGATAGAAGTGTGGGTAATGAGAGAGAGAAGGTAAGGTTATATGAAGAAGGATTTCTTAATAAATTGGTGGGATATTTTGCGGGTCAATGGGACAAAGAAAGCGAGAAGGGAGGTGAATTTAAGATATTGTCAGATATTCTTTCTGTACTCTCTACATCTAGGGATGTGAGGATTAAAAAGGATATTGTGAGGTTAGGACTACATAAATTTACTTTCAATTTGTTAAAAGATGAAATAGAGAGGATCTCTAGGGATAGAGCCACTCATTCTCAAAATAGTGGTAACATGGATACTCCCGTTCTAATTCTTTCCCTGTTTAGATCCGTTAGGATTATCTTTGCTAACGTAGCAATCCCAAGATTCTATGAGGAGTACTTTCCTTACATTTCAACACTTTTAAACTACAAGAAAGAGAGCGATCTTCTTTCTTTCTTATCTTTGGAATGCAAAAAAGAGTGTAAAAATGAGCTATTCTTATTATTAGAAAGGAAGTGTTCAGACAAAAGAATTATCAAAGCACTTTCCACTCAGGAGTTTTTTGATATTCTGGAGATAAATAGCATCTCGATAGTTCTCTATGAAAAGTTAATAACAAAGCAGAACCTTAAATTTATAAATTTAAACCAACTAAAAAGCATTTTTGATCTTCACAATATAAGGCTAAAAATTAGAATCATTTCTTGCTATATCACTTGGTTTAATATTTACAGTAAGAACAGAGGTAAAGAAAGTAGCGATAGCTCTATATTAGATATCGATAATAGTGACAATAGTAGTAATGACAGTACGGATAGTAATGTTTCTAGGTACGTTATCGATGATGGTGATAGAGATAAGGGGTGTGATAAGATACTTCTCACATCTAGAAATATAAATAACATGAACATAATAAACCTAATAAGAAATAACACGGAGAACCCGAAAGTTAAGAAAAAGAGAAATGTACAATTAGAAAGGGAAATGAGGATATTAAGTGAGATTTTAAAGTATTTTCTGGTGGTCCTGAATGGAGAAAAGAGTGAAAGCTTGTTTTTGTTGGGAAAATTAGCTTTGAGGAATATAGAGGCACAAAGAATGTGTGAGGAGAATCTCATTGTTAATAAAGTTATGGAGATATTCCATGAGATATATTTTAATGGAGAGGGATGTGTTGATGTGAAACCAAAGGAGGAAATGTCTAAAGGAGAGGGTGTTTCTATAACAGTGGGAGAGAATGGTGGTATCATAAGAGAGGATAGAGAGTGTACAGATAATGTAAGTGAGACAAATGGCAGTAACATAGATATTACTCCTGAAAGATTTTATTCCTTTATGGGGCTTAACAATGCTACTCCTCCTATAACTAATCTTTTAGACGGGAAAAAAGAAGGATATATCCCTTTAAGGATACCAGTGAATAACAGAGGTGGGAATGATAACCTGATAAGGGTGCTATTTTGCATTTATGGAATCACTTCTCTATGGGAGGAGAATAGAAAAGTGATAATAAAAAATGGGGTCGTGAACGTTTTATTTGAGATTTTCAAGAGTAAAGTAAGTAACAAATCCTTTGATTCAACACTTCTCCTTCTTCTTTGTGTTCTGAAAGGGTTATCTAGGAGTGTCACGTTTTTGAGGTCTGATCTTCAGGAACATCCTGTGGTAGAGCTATGTCTCATCTCCTTAGAGTATATCAGAGAAAGTAGGATCAGAACCAACAACAACTGCATAATAGATGTAGTGAAACTTAATAAAGATATTCCCTGTGAATATCTCATAGTAAAGGAGATCTTCTCCGTCCTCTCCAACCTCCTCCTAGAATACGGGAACTATAAACCAAAGTTTCTTAAAAAGAATGGGATGAAGATAATAATTGAAATGGGAATGGAGAGAAGTATGAACACTTCGGTTTTATTTCTCCTAAAAAATTTTGTTTACGACTCTCCTTGGAGTATAAAAGAGAATTTCTTACATCATACAAAGGATACTTTCTTTAAAGAGATGTTTTATAACAGAATTAAAGTTAATACTGCGAAGGCATGCGAGAATAGCAGTGGTACTGCTTTATCCAACAATTCTTCCACTTCACTTCTAAACATTCCTTTAATTACCTCATTTAGTATTCCAAATAGAGAGATATCCACCGTGGTAATAAATTCCTGTAATATACCGGGGAATGATTTAAGTATCAATGAAAGAGTGTTAAATATCTCCATAAAGGAGAATTTGTTATTTTTAGAGCAATTATTTAATTTTATAAGAAATCTTCTGTGTGGATCTGTTAGCGAGATAGAAAAGATAATCAGTAAATATGAAGGAATACTGGAGATAATCTTTGTTACGTACTTATTAATAGATAAGAAAAAAAGAAATAAAAAGATAATAACACAAATGATATATATCTTGGTGAATCTCTGTGCTGGCAATATCGAGTACAAAAAGGTAGTGGTAAAGAAAGAGATAATAAGGGAGTTGAAGAAAATAATTGAACTAGGAGACAGAGAGATCAATATTTCCATTGTATGGCTCATTATTAATCTCACTTGGAAGGAAGATGAGGAATGTTCCAATAGGGTTAATATTTTAATACAAAATGGCTTTAAAGAATGGCTTACTAAGTTAGACATAAGTGATCCAGTGATAAATGACAAGGTAAGTACAGCATTGAATTACATGGTGTGATGGGAAGGATAGACCCTTTATTTACTAAATAGAAATACTTTAACACCCAAAACCAAGGAACAGTAGAGGAACTGAATAGTGCAAAGTAAGTAGCAGAGGTAGTCCTCTCTTAAAGGTCCCAAAAGGTACAGAATTAAATTTAAAATGGTGAGATTTATAACTTTGGTGTTGGGGATGTAAGAGGGTACTAACTGGGTACCATTGAAAGAAGGCATTCTATGTCTGGGGCATGGAAGCAGACCAAAGAGTTGAGGAGTGGAGAGCAAAAAGTTTAAAATTTGAATTCCCAAAAAGAAGAAAAGGGTTCTGGTGCTATGTCCCAAGATAGAAATACAGGAGAGAACCATTCCAGAGAAGTAGCAAAAGGAGTCACCCACAAATACCTTAGAGGGGTATTTATTAACAAGAAACAGGGGAAGGGAGCTAGAAAAGAGGAGAAGAGAGAGTAGCACACCCATGGAATATCTAAAGATCAGGGAATCCAAGAACACAAACAAACTCAAGATCAGAATCTGGAGAACTTCAATTCCATTGATACCACTCAAAATGTTAATGCAGTTTGTAGAGAATATGGAGAAGAGCACCATGTAGAGGTAGTAGAAGATTTTTATATTTTTGAGTCCCAGAAGAGGGATGATGATTGAGGTACCTCCTTGGTAGAGTAAAAGGGTGGGGATGATTGAGATGAAGGGGGAGATCATTTTATATTTCCATCTCAAATTTAAGGTGTCATCGATGTACCCCAGGAGGATGGTTAAGGTAGAGGTAGAAGAAACACCAAAATAATCCAAGTAATGGGTGTTCAGAGTTGTACCATCTTTGCTCCTATCTATTTCTATCTTAGAGAGGATCATTAAAATAAAGAGGGAGATAACAAAGGACAGTCCTGAGGAGATCCCCATACCCTCTGGTAGAATGACATTCCCAGGTTTGTGTTCATCTCTCCCTTTAATTTTTGATTTTTTAATAAAAAATCTCACGAAATGTTGTGTTACCAGGCAATTAAACAAGCATAGAGGAAGGATTGTTACGAGCATTCTTAGGGGGTCTTTCTTTATTTTTGAAGGGAGGTCTGGTGGAGTGTTTTGAATTTTGTGATTGATGGTTTAGTAAATAAAAAGTGTTCTTTTATTCCACTTTAGGGGTTTCATGAAAGCAAAAATCGTGCCATTTTCTATTACCTCAACTTTAAATTAAAATTACCCTTAGAATGAGTGAAATACTCCAAAGGATAAACATAGTGCTAAATAATCCTTCATGGGAGAATATAAAGAGGACTTTTGAGGAGAGTGGGTACATAAGACTTAACCTTCTTTACATTTCACCAATAACTTTGATAAGGTTAAAAAATAAGCTGGATGGAATGGGGTTGATATCGTGGGAATTGAATAACACAGGGATGATCTTTTCATTCCATTCCATTGAGATCCATTTTAAAGGTAACTACAAGATTTATAAAAGTGAGAGGATTTTTGTTTTGAACTGGACTTTGATGCTATGATCCATGGAAAGGGGGATTATGATGTTTTATATGAGATAGAGACCTATCTAAAGGGATGTGATGCCATGTTCTTCATGACTTACTTTGTTAACCAAGATTTTGAGATACTTTCAAATCCACTGAGTAGATGTTTAGATTTTATCTATAAAAGGATAGAAGAGAGGAAGTGAGGAGAGGGGGAAGGTTCAAAAAAATAAAATTTGTTGTTATTCCTTCCTTTATAAATAAATCCACCCCCACCCCAAAAACAAAACAAAGGAAAAGGGAATGGATTCGATAATTAGCATAGCAAATAAGACAACAAAGAAGATCCAAGAGCTCTACAAAAGGGTGGTGGATTACATAATAATAGAAATATTTAAGAAGGAGGTGTCCATTCTATTTCTGGGAATTGATAATGCTGGTAAGACCACTTTGATAAACAAATTGAAGAGTGGTACTACAGCACTATCGGAACCAACACATCACCCAGTGAAGAATACCCTAAGTATAGGGAAAATGACAGCCAATGTGATAGATCTTGGAGGACACACCCAGGCAAGGTTGATATGGAAAGAGTATTTCTACAACTGTGATGGTGTGGTATTTATAGTTGATGTGAACGATAGCAAGAGATTTGAGACAGTAAAATCTGCCTATAAAATGGTGAGGAGTTTGAAATCAAGAAAAGGAAGGGCTAAAGTACCAATCTCTGTGCTGATGAATAAGATAGATCTAGCGAACCACAACTCCCTCTCTGCAGAGAGGGACATTGAGTTTTGTGAGATTCTAAGGAGAGAAACGGGGATCGATAACGAGGACGAGTCTACTGGACAACCCGTTAAGGTTACCTACGTTAGTATAACCAATGAGAATGGTAGTAATCTCTCTGGTCCTTTGGGACAATCCTTTGTTTGGTTAGAGAGGATGATCTTTAGAAGACCAACCAAGGGTGAACTTTAAGGAAAGGTAAAATAAAGCAAAGTTTTTAATGAAAAGGTAACCTTTCAACTCTTCCTTTTCCTTTCTCTAACAAAGTGTCAAAAATGGAAATAAAAAGAGGGGGAGAAATGGAATAAAAATGGAAATACACTTTCTATCTTTGATGGCTCTATCCTCGGTAAATACACTGAGTGACTCTCTAGTACAAAGGGGTTTGGCTCATAAGAGATATGCACTTCACAGAGAGGATCTTTTAATGGCTGACCATTTAGAGAGTGAGGGGTTTAAGGTTATACCACCAGAGGGGTGGTGAGGGTAATTTTATGGAAAGCTTAAATAAAGCGGCAGATTTTTTTATTTCTCTAAAGCTAAAACGGTGTTTTAGAAAAGGTCCTTTTATAGGGAAAATTTTAACTTTTTGGGAGAAGATGAGAATTTTATTTTTGATTTTGTTGAAGAGGATCTGTTGTTTGGGTGTATCTGAAAGACTGTGGATGAAGGATCCATTGGCTCATAGAATATTTGGAAATTATTTGAGGGGAGCTGGTAAACCTGAAATGGATCTCATTGCTCCAAACAAATTGGGTCTAACCAACTATTTGAAGGAACCAATCATTCCAACACAAGAAGAGCTGAAATTAACCAGAAATAACTCACCGGTTGTTCTTCCTTATTTGGTTAGACCCAAACAAATGTTGGTTTTGATGCATCATAGTTAAAAATTTAATAAATTTTAATTTTAAAAAAGAGTACTCCCGGTGGGATTCGAACCCACGACCCTTGCGTTTCTTAGCTATTAAGGCTAGTTTGGGTTAGCTGGTGCACAGCTTATAAGCACAATGCTCTAACCAACTGAGCTACGGGAGTTCGGGAGGGTGCTCAGAAAGTAATACTTTAATATTACAGCATTAAATAGAGAGCCAATATCGTATTTAATTAAAAGTGTGGTTAACTGTACTGCAATGAGGTTAGTATTTATAGGAGATAAAATCGCTAGAATCCTTGACCTCCGGGGTGTATAAGGGGATGGGTGAGACGTAGTGGAAGTCATAGGGTTCAACTATCTCTCTAGGAAATTTATTCAACAGTGAATCATACCCCGTTATGTAGTATGTGGAATAAGGCTGTATCATTAAAAGGATCAATTTATGGGTGTATTTAACCATTTACTCTAAAAGATACTCCAGGTTTTATGTTCTGATCTTTCTACTGACACTTTTCTGTTTCACTTGGAATCTCTACAATGTCTTAGAGGAGGGTTTCATCAGAGATGAGAAATGAAGTGTTGATTTTGTGCTATAACCAACTTTAATTAAGAAATTCAAGCTATCATCAGAAATATGGACCTATTGGTGGTGCACCCAGATACCCACTATACCTACCATACCCCAATCCCAAAGCTGCCCTTTTAGAGCTCGCTTCATAGCTTCTTTTATAGGCCTCCTTTTGAATTTCACGCGAAGCTGCTGTTGCACTTGCTATTTTGCTAGCATACCCATCATAACCCAAAGGATCTAATTTAGGAAATGGTGATAAGGTGGGTGAGGGTAAGACGGGAAGGGTGGAATGATAATCAAACGGTGAGAAAAACTTAGCATAGCTAATACCAACCACCAACAAATTTATAAAAGAGAGAACCATTCTTTGATTTCTGTCCCATAACACTCTTTTTATATTTCCAACTTTGAAACTTTAACACTCCAATTACACCTAAAGATAAACAATCCTCAAACACATTCTTCCTTTATTTGTTAACAGCGTGGTAACGAAGTTGGGGAACTTTTCCTTCGTTGGATGTGTGGATTTAGAAAGTTTTAAATTTTATAAACAAAAATCTAAACAGAACAGTCCTTTCCACATGATGCTCCATTGATATATGATCGGGATATTCCCAAAAAGTGTCCTTTGCATCTCTTCTAAACCATCAAATTTTCAATTGTCTTTTTGTATCCCTTGAATGGAGGATGAAATGTACGAATACTTGGATCATCCGGCTGATGTTCAAATTCACTGTAGAGCTGGGAATTTAAATAGGTTATTTGAGTTAGCAAGTGAGGGAATGATAAGCTATGCTGTACAATCAAAGAATGGAATACCTAAAGGGGTTGAAAAGAAGCATTACCTAGAAATAACCGAAAAGAACCTAGAATTGATGCTAGTTAAGTACTTACAGCACTTCATTGAGGTATTATATGGTGATGAGATGGTACCTGTCAGATACCAGGTGGATATACAGGAGGATAAGGTTAGAGTTACGTATTGGGTTATACCAGCTGATTTTTGTGATTCTAAATGCGAGGTGAAGGGTGTTACCTTTTCTAGACTAAAAATCGAATCTACGGAGATGTTCTGTGAGTGCTATTTCATTGTTGATGTGTAGAAATGAATTAGTAAATTAATTAAAATTTAGATCTGCTGATTAAGTTCCCACAGGATGTAATATCCAAAAACACTCTTTGAGGTACTCTCCTAAAACAAAGAAACAGAAAATTTGAAATGTTACAATGTGAGTTTTACATTTTGTAAGCTATAAAAGTAAAGCTTTGAATTGGTACTAATGTTGTTTGGAGTATTACTGAGCATTGGAGTAGCAGAATGTGGTATATTCAATGATTATTTGAACTATCTACCGGAATATGGTGCTTATGACCCACTTCTATTTGGTGGTTTACCACCGGTGTTTGATATACCCTTGAAATTTACAAAGGATCCCTCTTTATACAGAGGTTTCAACTATAACAGTCCTTTGATCATAGGTGGAGTGTTAAGGAATAATTATCCACCCGATAATATGATAGCAAGAGCTAATTTCTTACCAGACTTGAGGAAAGAACTAACAAGGAGGGGATATCCAAAATCATCTTCACTACGAAGTCCAACAAATCGATTTTTTAGTCCTCATCCCTTGTACGGTTTTTATGACTTGGAGTAATCCGTGAGAGCTAATTTAACGAAAGAAAATAAAATTTAAATAAAGTTTCTTTGAAATTAACTTGGGACATTTGATTTATTATTACCTTAAAAGGTAATTTATGATTTGTTTGAATGTTCCTCTCAGCTTTTAAAATGGATCGGGTGTTTTAAAATCAGCAGAAATGAAGTATTGTTTTAATTGGTCTGAGGTAATTGGTTAAGAAGATGGAGAAGGGTCCTAAAACGCTCAACCCATCCATAATTGTGTTAATAAATGGTGAAACTGTGGTTTATTGTTAGAAGGTGAATCATCACTAAACACAGCATGTAAATATGAAACTTGTTTTACTTATAAGATGTTTTAACTAATAGAATCGAAGCAAAAAACCAAATAAGGAAATATTTACTTAAAGATACAATGCTGTGTTATATATTAAGTTATCTAGGAAGTATAAAAGGATTCTATGATGTAGGTCATGTTTTTGGACATGGTGGGGTAAGCCATGGTGACAATGGTCATTTAGGATATGATGTGCATGGAGGACATGGTGGGATATTCTCTCATCATAATGGAATGGGAACACATTCGGGAGATACAGGAAAAAACGGTATTCTTTTTACGAGAGATGTAATCCACCATGGTGATGGTGGAATATACATATCTAGAGGTGGAAACCAACGAGTAGGATATGCTCCAGCCATTGAAGGTGCTTTGTCCATAGATGATATACACAACAAAATGTTAGACGCAAAGATGGATGCGCATCTGGCAGCCATAAGGAAAATGGAGGCTGAAATGAATGCTGAGAGGCTAAAGGCATCGATAGCTAGGGAAGAGGCAATAAAAAACCAAGAAATGATTGAGAAATTGAAAAATATGGATGACGAAGCGGCCAAGGCTGAACATATCGATCCAGAAATACTTGGGAAGAAAGCCATACCCATTGCAACCTTCACTTCTGAGAACTTCCCACTCTATCACCATGTCAGAGATTTAGTCGAAAAGGTCAAAGCCGTAAGGGAAACTGAAGCCAGAAACATAAGAGCACAGAAAGAACTCACAAAATTGGATGATATCACGGATAAACTCAGACCAGTAGATCTAGCATTGGAACAACCAAGGTTCTACAGAGACTTTGTCCAGGCTGGAGATGCTAATAAGCTGATGTTTGATATTCCAGTTACAGATCCCAGTGGTTCCTTTTACATTTCATCTAAAGCAGATGGGAAAGATGAAGATCATCATACCTTCCCCATTAAAGAGCACTCTTATCCGGATGGTCACTCGCACTGGATCAACCATGGAGATTTTAGTAGCCAAAACCACTCATCGTCCCTCAACACCAATCCGTTTTCAACATACGGCACCTCATTAATGGATTTATTACCACCACTTTCAACTATTCGGAGATCTAATCCATTGCCAAACAGAAGAGGATTGAATTACGGAGGAATACCAACTTTTGTTTTTGATTCTTTTAACTATCTCAGATGAGATAAAGTACCTTAGTTAAGGGGATAATAAAAGCTTTTTTATTTAACCATTTTACTATAAACCCAATCTATTCCCAATCTTCTCAAATAGACCCAAATAAACCATTAATCCCTCTTTCCCGATCCTTTCTATGCCACAGGTTATGGCAACGGCTTTTTCATCCACAAATCGCCCTTCCCATCCCTTACCCTCGGACTGAATCCAAATAGAGAGACATAAAACGGAAACGTTACACTCGGGAATCGGAAACAATTTATGTGAGAAAAAATAAAATATATAAAAATGAAATATTTACAAAGGGGAGTATGCTAATTCTCTTTGTACAATTAATAGGAGCACTTTCATACAGTCTATTTAGAAGAAATTTTGCACCAGGAGTCGATACACCAATATACCACGAAATTGGACTGCATTCCAACCAAATGATACCTCCTAACTCATCATTGCTACATATGAAACCAGCCTTTGTTGATCCATATTACGATGATATGGGTATAAACTCATATAGTACATACAGTCCATTCTAATTCTACCACTTGGTTTGTTTTAATTCTTGTTTATAAATAAAGCTTCAATTTCTAATATTTCCCTTGTTCTTGTGAAGTGAAAATGATCTTTAAAAGATCAATTACTCTGGAATATCATCTCTCAAAATATGCTAATAGAACTGTAACTAACTTGCTGCTATAAATCAAGGCTCTAGACATTCTTCCATTTAATTCTGTAATTACGCATTACAATTTCTTTGACCCACTGTTTTCATTTCTTATAGCTCATTAGCACAGCTAAAACCACCTACTCTGATTTTATAGGATCCTTTGGGATTAATTTACCTTTTACCAGCACACTGTAAAACAAAACTCTTCAATATTAAAGCTTTTCTTTGATAAAGACGAAGCTGAGGCATTTTTATCGAGTAGAAATGTGTTTTATGGCAAACTCCCTTATCTAGAGTATTCGGAAAGTATGGTAAAAAATGTAGAAAGGAGATCATTAGATATGGTGGAAGACAGTGTAACACTGAGATAGGCCAGAAGATACACCTTTGGAAGTCATTTAAACTGTGCCCAGATCCTACACATGGCCTATCTTTGGCTTAATCGCTGTACTCAAACACAAATTATGGCACAGAGCGGATACTTTGGAATAGACTTTTGGAAGCAATAAGATATATACTATGATATATCTGAATAACATTCATTAAAAATGTTTAAATTTTATTTTACAGGGTGTTGGTAAATAGTAATTACAACCCCATGTAACGATGCAGTCTACTTACAGTAATTAGTTACTCTCTAAGAAAAGATTTATTGCCATACAACTAGTATTGTACACACAGAGATATAGGTAAGGTTAAGGGTAGAAACACAGTGTTTAGCAGCTATAGCTTTATTTAATGAGTGGTGCTACACTTCATTGCTGTAACACACTACCAACGAATACTCTCTTGGCTTTACCC